TGCATTAAGACATGTGTCAACTGCACACGAGATCCAGAACCGCTCAGCAGCCGCCCATGATGAAACAGACGGCGATCATGTTAAAACAATGGGGTCAGGTACACCGACCTCCCCAAGGACTTCAGTGGGACAACTTGAGCGTCGTGTCATACTGCGCGTGGTCGCAGAGATAAGTGACATTGTGCAATCACCACGTCCGATTATCCGGACATTGAGGAAGCCCATGTCTTACCTTCCTCTCTCATGAAGTCTGAATCTCTTCTGGCGAAACAATCCAGCGCATCAGATCCGTTCCTTCTGCCATGTTATTGATCAAACATGTCTATAACACGCGAGCGTTCCACGACGAAATGTTCAAGTGAGCCGTCAGCTGACGAAACCTCTCTCATTCTCCTCACCTTCGTCAGATGTGACGCCAGTAGCAGCATCGTCTGCCTACCCATCTTCAACACTAAGTGTCCTCAGCAGTCAGTGATGCAGTCAAAACAGTATCATTCAGCGAGAGACAGCGCGTCACTCATACCCCTAATTCGCAATGCCTCTATCTAGTATGGCTGGATGGGTCATGAATACTCTATAACTTCATTGAGGTAAAAGAATCTAGAGGACTAGGTAACAAGGTACGGAGCATGTGAGGTCGAAGAGAATAGCCCCACGTTTCACTTGACAATCAGCTACACACACTCCCTTCTTGAACATAACACATACGTGTCTGAGCTTTTTACTCTCACAACTATTGACATGGGATAGTTTCTGGCGACTCGATTACCCATGCCTACTGCCCAGCTCGGTTGAAGTCCGGCTTTCTGAGGATCGTGAACCAGTATGGGAGAAACATCGGAAAGGATGCCACTTGAACATCAACCTCCGACTTGGAAAGAGGTTGTGACGCGAAGAAAGTCGTCAAAGTGATGACAGTTTGGCAAAAGGATGCGGCCAAAGCACTAGAGGGTTTTAATTAAAATCTTGCCGAGACCTCAAATCTTACTCCCTACCCACGGTTGCAGAGTATCCAACTCTAGCTACCTCAGTGTGCTCTGACTTCTTCAATCACTTCCACCTCATACTCTCGGTTGTATCCTCTCATCAGGAGTTACTGAAATGAATGCTTCATGACGTTCATGCGGGACTCGCTCCTCCATCGGCAAAAGCGGTTCGGCACCAGGGACATTCTGGAGTTCCGAGACCCCGATACAGACAAGCCCCGCCAGTGGAACAGGTTCCTGGGGAAAGAGATCCAAGCTCAGGCCATGAATCCGGAGCTGCGGCGGGAATGAGCGCGTGAAGAATGGGGAAACGGTTGGCCGTTCTACAGTGCACGCGTATGTGATGCATGGGTGTACATGTATGTGGCCATCAAGTACCTGACTGCATCACAACGAGCATCAGGCTACCCCGGTAATTCCAACACCGACAGGCGGATTCGAGTTGATATACACGGTAAATTTGGTTGCTTGGTCGCCAACGTCATGATTTGCGCCATAGCAATGACACTCTTCTTCTTGGTCGAGCGGTGATTACTATGCCTCTCAACAACCATCACCTTATCATCCAAGTTAACCACCCAAAACTTCATTACATTCACTATATTCCGGGAATGCCAGATCATACGCCCATCCCAGGTACCTTATCTGATGCTGTTTTCACGTCCTGGACTGCCCCTGTTCTTGTATACGGACCACACTGTACTGTGGTACGTCCGACAACTTTGGATGCACCATTGGAGGGAAACGGAGCCAACTGCTCCTGCGTCTAGCCTTTTCGAGTCGAGAGGGAAATGCGCCACCTCGCTTGGAAATGCAATTTCATGCGAGAATTAGCATTTCAGCAGATGGCAGACGGCAGACTCAGCGTGGACTAATTCGGGCAAAATGTGGACAATGCTTATCCTAGGCGCAGGCAACCAGCGCTACCTGGATCTTCTCAGCTTTCCTCGTGATCGGCTTCGTTTGCAGTCAAAAGACAGAGTACAGATCAATCTTGCTGCGCCTACGGAGTACTTACAATAGAGAGAGTACGGGGGTTGGGTGTGGGAGTTGCTGGGGGGCTTTCCCATGGGGGTTATGAAGGGCCTGTAGGGTCATTGATGTTTCGTTGTCGTTTGTCTGCTGTTTTGATACCCCCGCGCCCCGGCAATGCTGTCGAGGCTGCCCCCGTTGAATGAACCCCGGAATTGCCCCTCCGGGGGCGGCGGGAGAACGCAGACCATCAGTCTCCACGGCCAAGACGTCCGACTCGAACCATACCGCGAAGCTTGTGCGGACCCGGAGGGCTAAGCTAGGGGGCGATACGGATGCAGAGTATGCCGGTTTCTATATGGATGGGTCCTTCGTGGCCCTGAAATTTGCGACTCCAGCACCGGACCACGGGGCATGGGCGATTGTTGCCGATGAGATTAGGAAGGTCCTGGAACCACTGGGCACCTACGCGAAATCGGTGGCCCCAAGGAAGGGGCTATGGCTCGTCGGGATTAAGGATACTTCTAAGGCCAACCAAGCCATCGGGTGCGGGTTTTGCTTGTTGGTCTTCCTGTAGCTTTTGCACTTAGACGCAATCAAAGCTGTCGCACTTGATGCAGCGACTCACTCAGGCAGTCCTTACCCATCGCACGGAGAAAGGAGTACTGAAATGCCATACGGAAGAAGACTAATAACGACTATGCAGAGGCAGCATTCGAACCTGCACCGCTTGTCCATACCCCTCCCTTTGAATCTGCCGTACTTGGACCTCCCCGCGCCCTATCAGCCAGCACTATTCAATGGCCGGAATGGTGCCTGCTGGAAACCAAGAAATCCCCGAAACTTGATCCGACGGTATAAGGACGATAATGACCAGAATGGTGGCGATCCTGTCGAGACATAATTGAGACAGAGAGACAGCTGGGGACCACCGCTTCGATAGCCCAGGCCCAGACAGCCCAGTATGGAGCCATTTCTTGGGAGGCAATTCTGACATGCTCTGCATTCCGTCTTCGTGCTGGTCAGCAACGTCCCCACATGAGACTCATTTAGGGCAAGGTGGGATTGAGATTGCATCTCCGAGTTGGTATTAAGCCACTAGCCTCCGATTGCTCGGACAGTACTGTATATACTTCGAATTAGAGGTGCGATCTATTCTAGAAAGAGGGATATGTGACGTCGGAAGTCTAGACCACACACATCGTGGATGAGCGTCTAAACCTCCCCTGCAGCGTAGAAATATGTATCCGTCATACCCAATCCCCAGATTCTGAGATCAATCAACAAGCGCTGCTATCTCCATGAAACCAATTCAAACAGACCACCAGTTCACTCCCGACATTCCACCCACCCTCGCATCACAGTAGCACAATAGTCCCGGATTGAGGCCGAACCATGGCGCCGGGTTCTTAGAGTTGACGTGAACCACACCGTGACAGCACAATGACGATATATTTTGTAACAGAAGCCCTTTTTCAACAACCATCCGATGTGGTGTAATGGCTAACATCGCTGTCTCTCATTGAGAAATCACAGCAGCTCGGGGTTCGATTCCCCGCATCGGAGTTCGCTTTTGGTGTTCGTTTTGTCAAATACGCAGTCGGTCCACCAGGCCGACCAAGTCTGTCTGCCTTTTGTGTTTTTTTTGCATAGCAATGCGCATCCATACTCAGTGCGCAAGTAGATCTCTTATCTTACTTATAAGAGAAAAAACAAAGAGGCCAGGCTAAGATAGAAAGAAGTCTCTGGGTGTGCGTGCATGATACCAAATTTTCGGTCGGTTGTTCATACAACCAACCTTCTGCCCCTGCACAGTGGGCCGGGCCCGCCCACCCATATAAGAATATATGGGAGCAAAAAGTTAACTCCGATGCGGGGAATCGAACCCCGAGCTGCTGTGATATCTCATTGAGAGACAGCGATGTTAGCCATTACACCACATCGGACCTTGTTGAAATAATGTCAGAGCGTTTGCCAATACATACTAAAGTATGAGAGCCCCTGTGGTGTAATGGCTGACATCGGACTGGGTTTCCAACCCAGAGCACAAACTGTCTCTCACACAGCAGCTCGGGTCGATTCCCCGCATCGGAGTTGCCTTTCTTTGCCTATCCATCTTCTAGATAGACCTTGAGCAATCGGCCATGGAAAAGGCGGATTTGGTAGATTGGATGAACGAATAATTGATTGATTGTTTGTTTGTTGTTAAAGATAAGATACATAATATCACTGTCGTATTTTTTCTTCTCGGCCGGGGTAACAATCTCCCCTCTAGTCGTACATTGAGGTAGATAGACGTTGCTATACACAAACAAACAAAAAAAAAACAAAAGACAACCCCGATCCGGGGAATCGAGCCCCAAGCTGCTGTATGAGAGACAGTTGACTTGTTGATGTTTTTGTGATGCTGCTCGGCACGCATCTCTAAGTTATTTGCGCAGTTGCGAACGTGGATGATGTCGGGTGTGCTTTGCTTATTTAGGCGCAGCTGTACGAAGCCAGCCGAGAGTTGCCTTGTGGATTCATGTTAGGTTAGTGAGGCCTTTGGAGCAAGCAAGCCTAGGCGATTTAGACATCGGCACTGGATCCACCCATTTCAGACCCTCATGTAAATCTACTGTATGTGGATGTCAATGCACGAGTGACTACCCTCGAGAGACCAATGGAAGGCTGCGCAACCCAGCGTCCATCAAGACATAACTAAAATGTACTGTCCCATAAAGCGAATCCCAAACTATCAACCCTAAACGCCAGGAGCAACGCAGCGCAACGCAAAGCAACAGAACAGAATCACAAAAACACAGCAAGCAGAGTAGGTAGTACATCACACATAACCATGCCATGAGATTACCAGCGTAGACGCAAATCAGCTTCATCCCATGACCGGGCATACCATAAGCATCATCCATCCATCCATCATCAGCCCACCCTCAGCTCAGCTCAGCTCAGCTCAGACCGCCCCATCCCAAACATAAACAAAACACCCACCTCCCACCTCCCTCGTCACCACAAATCACCCCTAGCCCAAACCCAGACCACACCTCAAACCCGCTTATCCCTCGCCTCCCCCTCCCGCACCTCCCCAAGCAAGCCCACCAACTCCCTGCCCCCCTCACTCTCCCTCCCCTCAATCTCGAGCCCCCTTTCCACAAACCGCCGTGCCTCCTCCCACCTCCCCATCTCCACCAAGCACTTGCCCCCGCGCCACCACGCCTTCACATTGCCCACCGCCTTGCTCTCGACACTGCACCGCGCATCCACCAGCGCCTCGACCCACAGCCGCTGGCTCATCCACGCCTGCGCCCGGTTCGCGTACAGCCCCGCCAGCTCGTCGCGCGCCAGCGTCACGGGCTCCCACCCGGGCCGGCCCAGCGCCATGTCGATCGCGTACCCGTACAGCCGGGCGGCGTCGGCGAAGTGGTTCTTGCGGTAGGCGGCGTTGGCACTGTCCCGGAGTTTGGTGATCTGGGCGCTGCGCTTGGGGTTGATGGGGAGCGGGGGCGGGGGGATCTGGTTGGGCGTTTCGAGGAGGGCGCGGTGGAGGGAGTTTAGCGCGGTGAGTTCGGATTGGAGGGTGGATGTCGATGTGGAGGGGTGGGTGAGGGTGATGGCTTTGGAGGTTGGGTCCAGGTGGAGCGGGAGGGGGTTGTAGATGTCTATGCTGGACATTTTCGGTTGTTGTGGTTGCTGTTGTTGTTGTTGTTGTTGTTGTTGTTGTTGTTGTTGTTGTTGTTTGGTGGTTTGGTGGTGGTTTATTTTGGTAGTGGTGTTTATGAGGTGGGTGTTGTTCGTGTGGAGTAGGTTGATTGTTTGGGGGTTTTCGTATTTCGTTCGGCTCGTTGATGGACTTGGATTCGTACAGTAGTCAGTATAGCTGTGTATGCTGTAGCTGTAGTGTAGCTGGTAAATGGTCTGTGCGGAGAGGTTAGTGTTTGAGGATTCAGGTAGAAATCCGACTCGAACTCACGAGGCAGATTGGCAGAAACCTGCAGGATGAGAAAGCAAGACGAAAAAGTGCGCACCGGCTGGACGTCCAGAGTTCAACCCAGATCAAACAAAAGATGAGCTGTCCTGATCGCTGATGGTGAGTGAGCCTTCCAAGCAAAGGCGGTGGCAGAATCCCTCCCTGCCTTCGGCGAATCCTGCCGGGTCAGATGTGTCATCCTGTTCACTAACTAAGTTACTACAAGTCCAAGCAACCAGTTCACTACCAATTCGACAGGCTTGCTCTGCTAAAGTATGTAATTCCATCTATGTAGAACCAAAATACATTCGTCATCCAATAAGTCGTCAGGTATGCCTGCGCGGCCATTACACAGGCCGTTCCCCAGCCAAATCACCATCACAGCATACAGTCATCATGTTACAAGTCAACAAGCCAGAAATGACAATCGGAAATGTGCGCCCGCAAACACCGCCCCATGGTTCGTTTCGAAGGTTTGTCTTTGGTTTTTCTTTTCACCGCATCTCCTCTCCGTCAACCCCTCTAGTGGCCGTAGCCACTGTGACTCGGCTCGTACTCCGACGGTCCGCCGTAGTGCTGACCGTGCGCCCCGCCGTAGCTGGTGTTGTAGTCGTGCAGCACGCTGCCCGTCGAGACGGTCGGGTCGTAGGCGCCCGACGCCGCCGAGCGGCCGTGCGTGGTGCTGCCGAAGTCATCCGCCTCGCTCTGATGCAGCAGGGCGTAGTCCTCATCGCGATCGCCGCGGACCGACGAGCCCATCCCCGCGCGCGACCGGAAGTCGTCTTCCTCCTCCTCGAAATCGTGCGCCGGGTTGGACGAGAACGCGGCCTTGGTGTGGGCGGCGAAGGTCGGGTCGGAGACGGCGTCGGGCAGGGTGCCGGTGCGGCGGAAGTGCACGACGTTGCGGAAGGACATGAACGCGGTGACCACGAAGAGTAAGCTGGTAGAAAAATCACATGTTAGCAAACCATCCGAGAAAGCCACAGATGACAACTCACAAGACAATAACACCCAAGATCACGGTGGCCGTGCTGATCTTGCACTTGCTGGCGTTGCCGTAGGCCCAGTTGTCGCAGCCGCTCTTCTTGCTGTCGCTCGCCCGCTTGCTGCTGGACTTGCTGTCGCTGTCCGTCGAGCTGTCGCTCTTACCCTCGCTCTTCCCCTGCGCCACGTAGCTGGCGACACAGACCCAGGCACTGAACCATAAGATGGCGTACAGGCAGTCCACGGTCGCGAAGGCGTACACATTTCCAAACCGGCGTGCGCGCGGCCACATGGGGACGGCCACTAAGTAGATGAGACCGGGGATACTGAACCAGCACTATCGACAAAAACCATTAGACTCGAGTCCTCGGCGACATTCGTCCCCCTGAAACAGATGGATGGGCACTCACCAAGGCCCAGTACCAGGCGGATCTCCCATCAATGCCACCGCCCTTAGTGAACACGGCGATAGTCAAGGCCCACGCCAGGAAGATGATAAATCCCTGGAACCCATGGATGATGTTTTTCGTCCGGCCCGGGTTGAAGGAAGGTCGGGCGACTCTCATGTTTCTGAGGAGTGAGGTGGTCGATGACGGAGGAGTGGTGGTGCCTGATGACGATGAAAGGCGCTTTCCTCTACGCTAGGAAGCGAGTCCGCGATACGATGGAGCTGGCGGATTGATCGCAGATAGATCCAATGATTCGGAGCCGCCAGAAACTGAATTCCGAGTAGATGAACAGGAAGGGATAGGCAGAAATCGTCGCAGCGACAAGGGGGATGAGAATACGGAACGCAATGCGATTGTTTATTCCAGTGGCAGCAGCAGCAGCAGCAGCAGCAGAGTCGAAAAACCGACGGCAAAGGTGAACGGGGCAACCCGATCGTGCCGCGCGGACGCTAAAGTAGAGGCGCAGGCAGGCAGAACGGTGGGAGGGGAAACAAGCGACGCAATCACCCCCGGGAATAATCTTCAACCGGCAAAAAGGAGTGAGGCACAAGAATAGCTCAAGAAAGCTCACGAGTCCTGGGATATGAGGGAGGAATAATCAGGATAGAGTAGAAGAGAAGGAGACTTTGGATTGAAAGTGGGTGGGAGGGAGGGGTGGAAGCTCGTGAATGTGGCTGTCATAACAATAATAATAATACACTTCATTCATGGAATTCATTTCATTCAGCGGCGGTAAGTTACCGTAAGGTCATCTTACCCTTCCGGGATTAGCCTGCCCGTGATCTCGGCTCAAAATAGAATTCCCAAAGCACATGGACTGGTGAAATGCACAAGCAAAAGCAAGATCAAGGTTGCTTACAGTTGCGATGTTCGATGTCATCGAAGATGTGGTTACAGAATTGTGTCTTGCTCGTATCCATTCCCAATTTTGAATACTACCTAGTTTTGTTGCCCAATCGAGGACCCTGCACCATGGCTGACGTATCCTCATTTTTGACCAACACAGCCCAGTTGAAGTGATGATGGCCACTTGTTCAGCGATAATTAAGGGCACACCGGTATCAACGATATCAACGATCATGAAGATCAAGCACTGCAATGATTATTGCGTAAGTGGGTAAGCGGACCCTCGGCAGCTGGCTGTGTCTCTACACACATATGATGTGTCAACATGTCAGGTGCTCGTCGACAATAATCAAGTCTGCCCGTCGCTTATCATAGCGGTAATTTCCGGTCGAGGGTCCGACTCTATGCTCTATCATGCTGACAAGGTACTCCGTAGTGAACCTGGCTTGGGGGCTCTAAAGCCGATCAAAGGTGATGCATGATTGTGAAACTATGGCCCAGTTATTAAGATGTTATCCTTCAGCTCTGTAAATTGACCCTAGTCGCTAGCCGTTTCATGATAGCGCCAGGTAGCTTGTTCTCGTGGAAACAGGGGTTGCTATTCATGGAGACACGGCCGCCACGCATCCACGCTTGGCCGACTCCACCGTCGAAGATCAATCTACAATCTTTATTGTTTCAAGCCTCCGCGATCACACGCTTGAATCAGAATGTCTCAACTCAAATTGGTCCATTACCTCGGTCGTCTCGAAAGCGGCCGATCCGCACAAAGCTAATATACTCAAAGGACGCCACTCGATGCTCCCTATACAACAGCATCGTCTCATGTGCTGTGATCCGTCATAACTTCGTTCGCTAACTTGGAAAAGGGAAAAGGAGAGGAGTACAAAAAAGGGAGAGTAAGTGGATGAAAATACACAGGAAAATAATCTGGAAACAAAGGAGAGTCGTTAAATCGACAAGGAGGCGAGCACATTATGTCGACTTGCCATTGGTCGCGTTCATGATCATTTCGATCTCTTTCAGGGGCTGGTAGATATGCGTATGCCACCACCACGGCAATGGGTCAATGGCGGAGAACCGCCAATTCTTCCAGAACAGGAGCAGTCTGCTGCCTTCGTGCAGGCTGCGATCGATCTGCTCGATGGCAGGGTAAAGTGCCGGAAGTACCCTCCGAACATCGCAACTGTGGACCACCTGGCAGAGACTGAAATTCTCAGGAGGCGGGGTAGAGATTTCCGTGTCGATGGATGCGATGTCTATAGCGGGCACTTCGCCAGACACGCCGTTGATGTGTGGCGCGAGCACATCCAGGTACTCCGCGACCAGTGAGTCGTGCTTATCTTCCAGAAGAAACTTCACAGCCGTGGCGCCTTGCTGGCAGCCCTCGATATGAATCGCATAGCGGAGAATATTGTCGGTAAATTCCTCGTCCACCGTCAGTTGGAGGCGTAGGTGACCGGTCAGTCGGGGTCCACTTTGGAGTGCGAAGCGTTCCATGAGCGCATGCGTCGCCCTCGCGAGCCCCTTGTCCAGACGCGAGTGTCCCCAATCGGACTCCTTGTCGCCAGGATAAATCTTGATCGCCTTGACATGGCCGCAGATGACCATGACCTCTGCAACAAACCGGCCCAGTCGCGTCTGTTGTTGTAGTATCCATGGCCGTTCCTTAGAGATCTGGATCTCACTAACCTCGGAATAGGTCAGGCTGAGAGTTCGCTTCGGCAGCACGACGACCTTGTCATCCCCGGGAGTGGGGGAGGGCCTCCGCATCTGATAAATCTTGGACGGCGACCGATGCAAAATCTTGTGGACGGCATCTCGTGACAGAACCTGGTGTTTTTCCACCACGGGGAGCCGCTTCTCAATGAGATACTGGTTGAAATTGTCTTGGTTGCCGAAGATTTCGGCCAGGCCGGTGTCCAGGGTGATGCATTTGCAATGGGTCCGGCTCTCGATCACCTGTTTGGCCGACGCATCGTCGAGGGCCGAGGCCTCGTTCGCGCACGGGATCCAGATCTCCACTTTCTCTTTCTGGATGATGTCGAGCAGCCGTGCACTGTACTTGGTCTTGGGAACGTGGTAGAAGGCCGCCAGCGTCTTGGACATGCCTTCGCCAGGGGCGATGGCGCCCTCGGTGACGTTGGCCCCGACCACCCGGTGGCCCGCGTAGTACCAACCCCGGGCCACCGCTAGCCCATGCGGGGTATTGACCCCAGTAACGAGGACTGTTTTCGGACGGAAGTGCTCATCTCGTAGGATTTTCTGGCGTCGGCGTTCGTGGCTGGAGGACTGTGAAATGTCGCCGGGGACATACCCGGCAGCGTAGGAGGCCAAAAGAATGGTGTTGTCCAACGGCAGGAGGGCGATCGAGACCGCAATCCGCACCAGATGGAAGATTACATGGATCTGCAGCATGTCGCGGGCGAATTGAAAAGTGCCTTCTTGAGAAATCGAGCTAAATGCTCGTCGTACTGTATGTATAGCCATCATAATGTCAGATGATGATTTGCAGTGGACATTGTTGCACAGAATCAATGCCGGGCAATGATTATTTATTGTCTCATGGCAGAGGGGGGTGCGGGCAGCACAACCAGCAGCTTGGGAATGCTGCTGCAAGGCGACCACGTCAGCGATGCAGCTCAGTGGGTGATGCGTACCTGAAGATGGAAATCAACTGCTGCGTTGTTTGAGTTGGGTGAGGTGGCTGGGCCGACAAGGAGAAAGAGCATCGTCGATTGCGACCACACGTCGAACTGAAAGACATATAAGACCTCCCACAAGATCATAACCGTATGATTTTCGTCGGCAAACCGGATGATGACCCCTCATTCTGACGGTGGCCGAGGGGCTGGACTTCAGCTTTGCTTTTGACAAGGATTGGCGGCTATCGCACGAATCATGATCCTTCGGCGTGTTGCCCAGGCTGAAGGGCAGCGTAAAGCAGATGGATGTATCGTAAGTACCAGGATGGCGGATATTGGCAGATGAATTCAAGGCGACAGTCAAGGATCGCATAGATTGAGAGGAGGAGACAGACATGCGACAAGGCGTGGAGGTGAAATGTAACTGCCTTCAATTGAGACAATCACTGCAGGCTGAAGCACCAGCCCGTGCAAAGTATATGCGGCGGGAAGCAGATTGAGGCCACCCTGCCTCATAAGCCGAAACATGGCTACCTGCAGCCAAATTCAAGGCAAAGGAATGTGCATGACCCATTCCTCAAGTCATTCGAATGTAAGAGTCTAGAACCTTTATTTTCTCGCGCATAGTGAGGTCTTTGAACTAGTGCCAGTAATGATACTCGATCGATAGTTCGTCTCGGTTATCCGATCACTTCAGGGTGGAGCAACGCAATCAACACTAGAAGCACTAATAAGGTGTAGGTGGCTGCTACTTCAGGCACAGTACGAAAAGTACAGTAAAGCCTGACACAGCACCACTGCAGCTTTGATACTCCGTGCTAGGCGCTTCGATGCAAGCACTCACCGCTTTCGCCTTGTCTACTTTTTATCCTACCCCGACGGCAGGTGTCGATGGGTTCAATTCCAGTGACTTGCGCTTCTGGGGGGAAAAGCACACCCAAGCCAAATAAGTCAAACAACATTGATCCCTCTCGTGTTGAAAACTTCCCGACTATCAGTGAGCACTGAGTCACAGTGAGGAAATGCATTTCCGACTTGCTTATCAATCTCTCACGCTGCCTCGGGGTGTCCGGGATCCGCGAGCCATGAGGGGCACCGATCGAGTAAGCATCTCCGAGTGAGCGGCACTTGGGACGGCATCATAGTGGGGGGACTTTCGCCCCTAGTGAGTCGCCCATGTTGTCATATCCTCCTTAAAAGGCTCATTCTTGAGGTTTACGTGGTCCTTATCGTCCCCCGAGCTTTCAGCTGGCTGTGACGTTGTCGGATTTATCTTCTTCCATACAAAATGTCGAGAATAAGACCGAGCCTAATCCCGAATGCGATAAGGCGCGGGGGTTCTCGTGCCATTAAATTCGCTGGATACCCTCGCTTTGGATCTCCAAGCTTGCAGCCTAATCTTGCTACTATCGCAAAATATCCATTGATCAGATTTCTGTCAACCTCGCGACATCCATCACTGACCATGAGTGACAACACCTACGTAGCGCCGCTTCATCCTCGTCCCGGGGACCGATCAGTAAGTCCGCTGTCCAAGGCTTTGAGGCCCTTTGAGATGTCGTGTGAACTCACTCCGAGCTTCATTGTAGCGCGAGGATGGTCGGGAGTTCAAGTTGCTGCACTTCATCTACGATCAGCCCAACCGAGACGAGATCCAGGGCAATCCCCAGAAAGTCCTAGATCTTATCGACGAGTTCGCGCAGACATATCACTTCATGAACATCGGCCCGGACAAGGGCAAGTTTATCACAGAAATTATCGCCGAGCGCAAGCCCGAGGTCATGATTGAGCTCGGTGGCTATGTCGGGTACTCTGCCATCCTATTCGGCGATGCCGTGCGCCGGGCCGGTGGAAAGCGATACTATAGTCTCGAACTGAACCCAGAGTATGCCGCCATTGCGAACATGCTACTGGATCTTGCTGGTCTGCGCGACTTTGTGCGCATCATAGTCGGTCGCAGTGATCTGTCCCTGCACAAGCTATTCGACAGTGGGGAGGTCAAGCAGGTGGAGGTTCTGTTCATTGACCACTACAAGCCTGCCTACACCACCGACTTGAAGCTTTGCGAGCAGCTGGGGAAGATCGTGCCCGAGGTCTCGGTCGTGATCGCGGACAACGTGCTGTACCCCGGCAACCCGCCATATTTGGAATATGTCCGCAGTACGGTGGAGCAGAAGCGCGAAGCGGCCAAGAAGGGCCCTGAACGGACGTACAACAGAGAGGGCATTCCGGATAGGACCGTGCAGTCCTTCCTCGGCGCAGATGCGACTCCTCAATTCGACATAATCGGCAACCCGAACCTCATCTACGAGAGCAAACTCGTGAAGCCGGAAACCACCAGGGTAAGTCGGATTCTGTGACGCAATGAAACGGCAGATGAGTTTTCTGACGCGACTTGTGTGCTTTAGGACGCCATCGAGGTCACCCGATGTGTGGGGGTACAAGAGTAGTAGAAGGGAGGTGTGTTTTTCGGGGAATCTGTGTACACTGGTTGAGAGAAGGAAGGGAAAGAGGCTGCTAAGCTGGATGGCTCACTAGCCTTAACCAATTTTGGTGCAAGGGGTCTTCGGACCTACCATTACTCGACCTTTTCATGAATGAGGCCGAAGTCTAGAGTCACAGTCGGCCGCTGACCCTTCTCTGCCAGCTAGTTCATTAAATACCAAACAAAGGCTTTCTTGTGAACAGTTCGAGGATACGTAGTACAGTAACTTACTCCGGAGTACAACTCGGGGCATCCGAAGTTTCTCCACCTTTCCGTTTACTGTCGGTTCCGGCGGAATCTACTAGATAGCTTACATAGCCCACCATTGACTTAATTTAGGGCCTAAAGTTGTTCCATATCGCGGCACAACAAACAGAACCACAGACATATACCAACATGGCTGCCTCTAGATCGAATTGAAGGAAGATGATGGAATACTCTATGGATTAGGTATGTTCACTAGTTGGCCTGACAGGGCAACTGTAGCAGGCGACAGCGCATCAATCAATCAAGTGCAGGCTGAAAAGACCCGGCCGTGGTTTTCCGTTGTAAAGTGTGAAGTCCTACAGGCCCAGCAGGTGAGACACGGTCCGGACTGAGCCGATGGTGTCATCATCGGCAACAGCACTGAAATGAATTCCGAGTGTCTTGCTGCTGCTGCATCGGCCTTTGCCGCATTGCCCCGCCCGGCCCAGTGGTTGCCGTCGCCAGGACCTTCCCCCGCACTAGTTGATGACTGAGTCCAATTTCTTCCCTTCCCCCCCCCCCACCACGCTGGAGATTGTGTAATCACTGTTCAGAACTTCAAAGGCATAGTCGAAGTGGGCCTTGTTTACGTCGTATATAACTGAGCAATCCTCCTCGGAAATCTTTAATCTCTAGCCTCTTCAATTGTCCCCCTCATCTCTCTGCCCCTCGTCTCTCACAAAACCATCACCCCCACGATAACCACCCCCCATCATGTCTTCGAAAACCTGGAACGTCGGAATTGTGGGATACGGCCTGAGCGCCAAAGTCTTCCACATTCCTTTCATCAAGGAAGTTCCTCAGTTCAAGATCTCTGCTATTGTGCAGCGCAATCCCAAGCCGGAGGACGATGCGGAGAAGGACTTCCCCGGCATCAAGTCTTACCGTAGCACCGAAGAGCTAGTCAAGGACGAGGGTGTCGACCTGGTTGTCATCACTACCGTTCCCGAAACGCATTTCGAGTTGACCAAGCTGGCCCTCGAGCACGGAAAGCACGGTAGGTCCTTTCTTTCTTTTTGTTTTACAAGTGCATAAGAAACTGTACTGATGCTAATTGTTGCTGCAGTCGTCGTCGAGAAGCCTTTTACCCCCACTTCCAAGGAAGCTCAAGAACTCGTTGCCCTGGCCAAGAAGCAGAACAAGCACCTGGCCGTATACCAGAGTCAGTATTTCTAAGTCACCTCCTACCTATAATTTGAATTTTGTGAGGTTTGGTTTTGCTGATGGGTGTGTGTGTGGTTAGACCGTCGCTACGACGCCGATTTCCAGACTGTGTCCAAGTTGGTCAAGAGCGGCTCCCTGGGCCGCGTCGTTGAATTCGAGACTCACTTCGATCGCCACCGCCCCGAAGAGCCTTCTGCAGATGCTTCGAAGTGGAAGAACAAAGTTGTCCCCGGTGGTAGCGCCATCTACGACTTGGGCTCTCACCTCCTGGATCAGGCCGTTCACCTGCTCGGCAAGCCCGAGCGCGTGACGGGCTTCCTCGGCTCCCAGCGCGAGGTGAACTCTTCCGGTTACGAGGACTCCTTCACCGTCCTGCTTCACTACAAGAACGGTCCTCTGGTCACGGCCAAGGCTGCAGTTGTCAGTCCCGAAGTCGAGCAGTTGCGCTTCTGGGTCCGCGGAGACAAGGGTAGCTACAGGAAGGTCCGTCCCCTCAGATCTGACTCCGCGAAATATGGGGAGCTGCGTTTTGCTGACTTCAGACGATTAGTTCCATCTCGATATCCAGGAAGAGCACATCAAGGCCGGACTGAGTGCCGGTGACAACGGATACGGCCGCGAGCCCAGTGACAGATATGGTACGTCGATGATGCACACTGACATACTCTTCCAACACCGTTCTAACATATGTCCGCGATCAGGCACTCTCACCACTATTCAGGACGGAAAGCCTACCAGAGAGGTCTTCCCTACCGTCGAGCCCCCGACCTGGACCGAGTACTATAGAAAGTTGGCGCGAGCTCTTGCCGGCGAGTCCGATCTCCCGGCTAGTGGAGCCGAAGCCAGCGAGGTTATCCGCTTGATCGAGTTGGCCCAGGAGAGCTCCAAGCTTGGCAAGACGCTGGACTTCTAGGTGGTGGGTAGTGTGTTTGTGTATATGAGTACTTAGAGATTATGATATAATGACAGGATGAGAATTGAATTTCACACGGGCTGCTCAGTACTCTCAAGTACTGTACTTGCATGTATATGCACCTTAAATTGCACGAGTATGAAAGAAGAACTCACTAGTGGTGGGGTGTACACAGAGCGCGTTACACTATCCAAGGCACGAACCTCCTCCTACGGTTCCACTACGACAGTCTAGACCCCTGTCAGCATGATGGCTGTATTGAGCGTCGGTGTCATGAGGAACTTCCTCGATCTTGCTCCTCTACCCCGGATTGATCGACAGCCCTGCTTTTGCGGGAAGGGCGGCGGAATGGCAATACGGGCGACTCGGCTGGATGATGGGGGAAATACGGTAAATAATGGTAAAGAATGGTAATCTGTGGTAAGAAACCCACCGGCTGACCTCATCTCCCACCGTCCCCGACGCTAAACCCTACCCGGAGTTTCCATTACCCAACTCAAACGCTGTGAGTGGAAGGACAGACCAGGAACCTTGAACTTCCAAACTCCATTCAGTTCAGTCACTTGGGTCAGTTCCAGTTGGCACTGCAATTCCGCCTCCATGACTGCTCTGCTACCATAGCCGAATACCTCTCCTCCGCGGAGATGCTGATGGCCAGCCCAAGATGCGTGCGAAAGATCTTCTTGTTCTTGCGTGTTCTCCCTTCTCCCGGTCTCTTCCAGCTCTGATGCCTACTATTAATATGGGCTCAGGATTCCCTCCACAGACCCAGCGACTCCAATTTGCGGTGTCCACTTGATGCACGGCGGTTTCAATGGGCTCGCCCGCTTATACTTCGTTGCTGCTCACCACGTAGGCCAGGCAAGTATTCTCACCTCCCCCCCCCTTGTACCCCCTGATTTGGACCCATCAGGCCAGCTTCTCGGCAGGATGGAGTATCTGCCTGTCTGTCATCTCTTTTTTCTGTGTCAGTGGGCAAGTTGCTCTCCATCCGCAGTCTCATGACTGAGCTGGCATACACAAGCACCCGCCTGTCCGGGTTCGTTCTTCAGGTTCATATCCACTTGCAACACTCCTTTTCATAACAACACTTGTGGTACTGGACCTGGTACTAACCGACCACAGGAATAAGCGCGTTTGTCTTGGCCAGGGGTGGTCATCATGACAGTCCAGCAGACATTTGCCCAGCCCTCTCGGCCTCCGTCCAAGCTTGAACACATCGACTTCTCCCGTCTCCATGTGGATATCGATGCCTATATAAATCCCGTTCTTCCGCCCCCGCCTTGGCGATACCTACCTCGGCCGGTCTCGCGCTTCTTTGGTTACCGAGAGACCCCGTCTCCCAAGCCTCTCGGCAATGTGGTTGTGGCCTTCTGGACCTTGATAGGGGTGTTCTGCGGTGTGTTGATCGTAGCGGAGGCTTCGATGCATGTGCCCCTTTTTGAGCACCATAATGCCCCGATCATCGTGGCGAGTCTTGTACGTCTTCCCCCTCAGGTCTACACCGGTGACCGAAGCTTCAAGACTAACCATCCCTTAGGGTGCTGCTGCGGTGCTGGAGTTCTCGGCCATCGAATCACCCTTTGCCCAGCCACGAAATGCGGTCATCAGTCAGGTCATTGCGAGCACGGTGGGTATTGGGATATCCAAGCTTTTCGCCCTGAATGCCCATGCCGAATCGTTGCCCCAGATCGGTGGCGCTCTGGCCTGTGCCATCACCACGTGTATCATGGTCCTCACGAATACCGTGCACCCGCCCGCGGGAGCAACCGCATTGCTTTCAGTGACGCAGTCGGCCGATGTGGGCTGGGCGTTGATTCTCGTTATGTTCCTCGGAAGCGTGCTGATGCAGGCTGTGGCCTTGTTGATCAACAACATCCAGCGCCGGTTCCCGATTTACTGGTGGACTCCGGTCTCTCTGGCGCGCCCGAAATCGAGTGACACCGAAAGCGGGGATCGGATCAACCGAGCCAGCTTTGAGACGGACGGCACGCAAGATGTCTTCCCCGGTGAACCGAGGCAGGTCCTCATTGAGTCGGGCAAGATCCTCTTGCCAAATCAATTCTCGATTTCGGAAGCGGAAATGAAGGTCCTGCGGAGTATCAGTGAACGGTTACCATGAAGTGCATCTACTAGCATTAGAAATAGGTGGCTTAGCATAGAGACATTCCACTGTCTGTATGTACTGTATATAGTGAAGTTCATGTCATTGTCCATATCATTGTCTTTCGAAGGGGAAGTAAGCTGCTTATCGTGATTGAGGGATTGTCCAACAGCAATTCTCTGATTACCAAGCTAAGTACAAGAGGATACCTAGTACTCATAGTGGCAATGTGGTTGCGAACATAGGATGGCATTTAGACGGAGGTGTGATTCTGCTGAACTTGCTTTAATGATAAGGAGTTAGTAGGGCGCTGCCGTGCCCGGGGCCGGATGCTCTTCCTTCCTAATCAAGGTAGCACACTGATCTGATTTCGGCCTCAGGCATCAGTAGCGGTTGCTGACCATTGCCAGCAAATGCCTTGGGCATAAGGCTCTGTAGCACGTGACTATTAGTGCCCAATCAGGCAAGGCCGCGCCACGCACCCGTGCGGTGACGTCGACAGGCCAATGACAGCGCCGCTGGGCAGAAACCCACTGAAGGAATTTTCGAGGCAACTCAAATTGAGGTCGCAGTTTCGTCTTTCATCCTCTGCCCAGTGCATCCTTCATCCTCCTCTTATTGTTCTTCGGTCGATTGTTCCTACTGTTCCTACTTTTGACTCAGAGGATAGGCTCCTTCAATCTCGTATATACTACCCATTCGATCTCTATCTACTCTCTGTATTTTCTGTGTTTTGAGGCAAAAGTAATAAGCATTGCCTGTGCTTATAGTTGATACTCTTACTATCGATAAGGGCTATCCAAGGAACCTCCCACTCCCATTCCCACTCCCCCCCCCCACTCAAAAGGCTTTCGGTCGCCCCTCTCTTACTATTTCTCTCTCCCTCCCTCTCTCTCTTGCTCTCTCTTTCACCCCGCCGCTGGAAAGTGCTCCACCTTTGTCAAGTTCTTTTTTTCCCCTTTTCCTCCTCCTCTTCACGGACTGGTTTCGTCTCTTTCTTCCCGCCTCCTCTTCTTACCTTCTTTCCCTCTTTCCCTCTTTCCCTCTTTCCCCCATCTCCCCTCCCATAACACCCACACAACCGTCAAAATGGTGTCTGCTTCCAAAGCTGCTCGTATGGCCAAGCGTGGCGATGACGGCAAGAAAAAGACCCTCAAGTCCAAGAAGGGTACCTCGACCCCCGGTGACGAGACCCCCATGCTCGATGGCGACGGAAACCCTTTGCCCGTCGAGGATCAGCCTGCCACCTCCGCTGAGAAGCTGAAGGAGGTTGAGAAGCTGACCGCACAGATGGACAAGCACGGTCTCTCGGACCGTGTCACCACTGGTGTCCTCTCCTCCCTGGAGTCCTCCCGCGACGTCAAGATCACTTCCGCCTCCCTGGTGTTCCACGGCAAGGTCCTCATCACCGACTCCACCCTCGAACTGAACTTCAGTCGCCGTTACGGTCTCTTAGGTGAAAACGGTTGCGGAAAGTCCACCCTTCTCAAGTCCATCGCCACTCGCGAGTTTCCCATCCCTGAGCACATTGATATTTACCTGCTCAACGAGGGTGCTCCCCCCACCGACCTCGGTGCCCTTGAGTGGGTTGTTACTGAGGCTCAGAACCAGCTCGACCGCATGGAGAAGCAGGCCGAGGAGATCTTGGAGAAGGAGGGCCCTGACAGCCCTATTCTCGAGGACCTTTACGACGTAAGTACCTGTGCATTCTTTGACGAGCAACATGTGTCTAACTTCATCATCAGCGTATGGACAAGATGGATCCCTCGACCTTCCACACCCGTGCCTCCCTGATCCTGACGGGTCTTGGTTTCAACAAGCAGACCATCCACAAGAAGACTAAGGACATGTCCGGTGGTTGGCGTATGCGTGTGGCCCTTGCCAAGGCCCTCTTCGTCAAGCCTTCTCTCCTCCTGCTGGACGACCCCACTGCTCACTTGGATCTCGAGGCCTGTGTGTGGTTGGAAGAATACCTGAAGAAGTGGGAGCGCACCCTGATCCTGGTCTCCCACTCCATGGATTTCTTGAACGGTGTCTGCACCAACATGATCGATATGCGCATGAAGCAGCTCCTCTACTATGGTGGTAACTACGATTCGTACCACAAGACCCGTGCCGAACAGGAGACGAACCAGATGAAGGCCTACCACAAGCAGCAGGAAGAAATTGCCCACATCAAGAAGTTCATCGCCTCCGCCGGTACCTACGCCAACTTGGTCCGTCAGGCCAAGTCCCGTCAGAAGATTCTCGACAAGATGGAAGCCGACGGTTTCATCCAGCCCGTCATTCCTGACCGTGTCTTCAGCTTCCGCTTCGCTGATGTCGAGAAGCTCCCCCCTCCCGTCCTGTCCTTCGATGATGTCTCTTTCTCCTACTCTGGCAACTGGGATGACACTCTGTACGAGCACCTTGACTTCGGTGTCGACATGGACTCCCGTACTGCTCTGGTCGGACCCAACGGTGTCGGCAAGTCCACTCTGCTCCGTCTGATGACCGGCAAGCTCAGCCCCATCGGTGGTAGTGTCAGCCGTCATACCCACTTGAAGCTCGGCATGTACAGCCAGCACTCCGCTGAACAGCTGGACCTGACCAAGTCATCCTTGGAGTTCGTCCGTGACAAGTTCCCCGAGAAGTCCCAGGACTACCAGTACTGGCGCCAGCAGCTCGGCCGCTACGGTCTGAGCGGTGAGTCCCAGACTGCTCTGATGGGTACTCTGTCTGAGGGTCAGAAGAGTCGTATCGTTTTCGCTCTGTTGGCTATTGAGTCTCCCAACATGATTCTCCTGGACGAACCTACCAACGGTCTCGATATCCCCACCATCGACAGTTTGGCCGATGCCATCAACGCCTACAGCGGAGGTGTCGTGGTCGTCTCCCACGATTTCCGTCTCCTCGACAAGATCGCCAAGGACATCATGGTCTGCGAGCACAAGACTGTCACTCGCTGGGATGGTACCATCGGGCAGTACAAGAACTACCTCCGCAAGAAGATGATCGACCAGGGTGCTGTCTAAAAAGCCCGAAGCATTTTTCATGAGGTGCTTCTCTGTTACGAATGGAATGCTCAGAAACGAACAAAATATCAAGACAGGAAAGAAAAACAGTCTGCGCGAGGATGCAGACTTGGGAAAACTTTACCGAAAGGAGTAGGAGAAAAAAGTATATCAATTTTCTCAGCAGCAGGAGAGATGAACCATCCTGACTGAGAGGTCCTTGTTTTAAGGGGGATACATTTGTGTTTATCCCGTTTTGCTTAAATACCACCTGGAGATATCACCTGCTCAGTATTTGGGTGTTTTTTGTTTTTTCTTTCTTTACGTTGTGTTTCTTAGATGGCCTTGTTTATTTCCATCATCGTCGTTCATACCATTTCAATCTCATCCCCCTAACTTAGACTTGAGCGTTTGAGGGGGTGAAATCTGATGCTTCTCTTTTCTCATTGGATTCTCGTATAGACTGTTCATCATCCTTTGGGACACGGGTGTCTCCTTGAGAATGGATTGTTTTATTTGAACTCTGGATTGTAGTTGCACCTGTAGATTTGGTTTACAGGTTCATGTCTTGTAGACGAATGCCGATCTTGGGAGCGTAGTATACTAATTCATCGGATCTGTTACCTATCCAAACCATTCATTATTGTATTGGTTCCATCCACCGTCAATTCTATAATCCGCTCCCCGCCACCTCCTAATCCTATACAACTAACCCTAAGTTTACCGCTCCTTCGTCCTCTGCATAACCAACTCCCCCCCGAAAATATCCTTACTACCGCTGGAAGATTCCGCGGCGGTCTCCAACTTCCGCTTCTTCGCCAACCTCTCCATCTCACTTTCCGACGCTCCAGAATCGACCCCCCCTGTTGGAGTTGCCGCCGCAGCCGCAGCCGCAGCCGAAGAAGCGAGCGCCGCCGCAGGGATCCTCTTCTGCCCAGCGCCACCTAAATTCACCTTCTCGGGATTCTGGCAGTGATACAGCTTCTTCCCGATGATCCGACGGAGGGTCTTCATCTGATCCGGATCCGAGGCGAGGGGCTTGTAGGCCTGCAGCATGACGGCGCAGTCGTTGAGCGTGCGGAGAAGTTTCGGTCGGAGGGCCGCCAGCCCATCCGCCGCCTCCGCTTCTTGGACGGATGATGATGGGGCTGGGGTGCCGAGTTTCGTGTCGAGGTAGTACTCGGCCAAGGCGCGGTCGGCCAGCATCAGCGCGGCGAGCCAGATCTGCGCCGGCGTGAAGAGGAAATACACGTCGGTGATCTGGGCGGCGGATTTGAGGATCTCGCGGGTGGTGTGGTGGGCGCGGGCGATTCGGTCGGTGATGTTTTTTGAGGAAGACGAAAGGGGGAGGGCGAGGAGGCCCCTTTGCAGGGATTCCGGGGTTTGCGTCTGCGTGGTGGCGGCGAGGTGCGGTGCGGGCTGGCCCTGCCCCGCGGCCAGGGCCTGGAGCTCCATGATCCCCCCCTCCAGCCCCCGGAACGGGTGCCGCACGTCGAACGTGAAGCGCAGGCTCTGCATCACCACGAACTCCGGCGCGATGATGTCCTCCGCCGTCGTGTCGCCGGGCACCCCGTCCGCGAACTGGCGCAGCGACATGTAGTAGTTGTCTGTCTTGGTGGCGAGGAAGAGCGCGCACGGCATGATTTGTTTCGGGTGGTAGGTCATCGGGCTGTTCGTCAGGTAGAAGCGCCGGAGGTATTGGATTGCTGTTGCCTTTTTTTTTCGGGGGTGTTAGTTTTTGGGGTTTGGGAGGGGGGGAGAGGGTTGGGCTGGCTGGCTGGCTGGCTTACTCGGACTATCGTCGGTAATGGCGGTTTGTACGCTTCTCCTAGCTGGATGATCTGCTCGCAGTAGTAGCTCACGGTCTGCTGCTCTTCCTCGGGCGTCAGGCATTCGATGGGTTTCTCTTCGGCTTTCGCGGGGTGGTTGGTGCTGGTGCTGGTGCTGGTGCTGCCCTCAACTTCGGGGACCGGGGTGCCCGTCGCGGACGAGGTGGCGGAGCGGCGCGCCTCCTGCGCGCGGCGGATGGCGGCGCGCACCCGGTCGCTGGCCACGGCGTTGGTGGTCGCCCGTTGGGCTTGGAGGGAGGCCGCGGTGAAGGACCAGAGGCGGTATTGCGAGGAGGTGCGGTAGAAGTCGTCTTCGATCATTTTGGGTTGCGTTGATGGCGGCTTGGCAAGCCGTGCCGTGAGGTGGGTGTCTGTTGCGCAGTCGGGTTGTAAAACGGGAGGGTTGGCTTTGTGGTTGGATGGTGCGGTCAGTGAAGGGTCAGGTCAATGGTGAGGTGGGCGCTCTTTTGTAAAGTTGGTGCTGGTGAAGGGGTTTTGCGGCGGAGAAAGTTGGAGATGGAGATGGGCGGAGACGGAGGAGATCCGTTGATGATCCACGTGCTTATCGATAGCGCTGCTCTTCCAGCAATCCTTTGTCCACGGAGTTACGCACGTTTACTTATATTGGCAAACAACTTAATCAAGTCTTCAACCCACCAACTTCTTGCCGATGCACATGTCTCATTGGCTTAATCACTCAAAACATCAGATGCTAAATAACGCAAATGGATGAATAGCTGGATATATGAAAAAAAGCTCAAACGAGAAATTAGAGCGCTCGATCAAACAGCAAACCCTCAAAGCTCAACACTTGATCCCGAGAAAAAGAAAAGCTAAAGCTGTCTGTGAATGTGGTCTGTCTAGGTCTTTCTTACGGCTCACCCAGCAGCCGTGCAGTGACGTCCCCCATGTATGCCTCCTCCAGCTCATAATCCTCGCCCTCCATCCGATCGATGCCATAGTATTTGAACGCCGCTACCACGCGGTCGACGTCGAAACCCATGCTACAGAAGCGGTCGATCAGGTCTTTGTTGTAGCCATCATACCTGTGCAGCAACAGTCAGCGAGGATATATGCGCAGATTTCGAGCCGGTGGTCCATACTTGGCGAGATCCTCCTTCTCCTGCTCCGCCTTAGACTTGAGCTCCAGCTCGCGCAGGGTCTCATCCGTCGCGCCGCCACTGCCCTCTCCCGCGTGTTTTCTCGGCGCCCCCGCATATATGACCGCCCACTCCTGGGCCTTCCGGGCGAACTCCTTGGGATGGCGCAACAGCATCTGCGCGACCTCCGCGTCCTGCGGGTCCTTCGGTTCTGGCGTGCTCAGTAGTGACTGCAGTGAGAGGAGAGCGGATTTGATGGTCAGGACGGGCGACCAGGCGGTGGATAGGGTATCCAGGCATATCGCACCCTAGAACAGGGAAATGAGGCATGAGCAAGTCTCGTCACGAGCATTGGAAGGGGGAAACTCCAGCACTCACCGTTTGACTGCTGACATTCGGGTGCCAGACCTTGGTTTGGAACTTCATCACAGGGGGCCGGAACGGGTAGTCGGTGGGGATCTTGATGTCCACTGCATATGTACCACCTTCGTACGGAGTCCCCGGCGGACCTGGGAAAGTCCCGCGGAGGTGTGTGATATCGTCGTCGTTCCCTACCGGCTCCGCGGTGATTTGCGAGTGCGTGTCCGCATGTATGTCGGCAATCTCCTTGGCGATACGACGTGCTCGATTTGAAGCCATAGTTTTGAGAATTGGAACGAGGTAGTTGCAAAGGAGCAAGCAGTCAAGGTGCTTTAGCTTTCGGGGTGAAAGGCCAACGAGGATTCTTTCCTGGGAAACAATACGAAGCGCAAGCTATATAAGTGAAAATCAGATTATGTCAGCCTGAGAGCAGTATAAATAAAGTAATGACGATTATACAGGAAAGTCCTAGCCAAGCTGACACGAAGCGGAGGTATAAAAAGCAAAAAGGAAAAAGCAAAAATGGACGCTGATGGAGGAAAGATGGAGCAGTGCAGCCTCACTTAATCGGCGGGGGACTGGCGAGGAAAATGAGGGGATCGCAAGTATTGGTGGGGCGTAAGCGCTCGCCGACGATAAAGCTCGCAAGCTGGTTGGAAACACACCTCCTGATGGCGCACTGCGAATCGATTTGGGGAAGCTTTTCCCAATATAGTGACGGTGCTAGTCTATTCTTGTTTAAGTGAGAGTCAAGAAATCTGATATGTCGACCGCGTTGCTGTATCTAAAAGGAAGCCGAGGGAAGAGGCCCGGGGGAAATGGATGATCATGGATCATGGATCATGGATCCATGATGATCAAACGAATTGCCAGATTCGTACTGGTGGCCTGGTGGCCTGGTGGCCTGGCAAGGCAGCCTACGCTGGCCAGAGCTTGTGGCCTTGGCCCTCAGGCTCTAATGCAAAGCACGTGAGGCGGTGATGCGTTGTTGGCCGCAGCGCCAAGGCCGGCACGGATGGCGACGACGACAGCTTCCCAGCTGCTGCTCATCTCATCACAGCTTCACGCCTTCCATCCTCCTCCCATCATCCACCGAGCTTGCGCCCCATCCCCCAGTACCTCTACATCGAATTTTTGTCCGCCTCTAGTCTGGCCGTGATATTCCATACATAATACTCGCCCTGTGTCTTTAATTCTCTAGGACTATGGTACGCTGTCAACCCTTGCTGTCGCTCACAGCTCTTGACGCCTCTTGATGTCACCTATCTAATACTTTCCAATAAATAGGGTAACCAGCAGTCCAACATTGGCGGAGGTCCCGGTGGGGATGGAAGAGATGACAAGGACAAGAAGGTATGTCTGTCCTTTCGCTCAGAGTCATGATACGTCAGCTTACCAAACTACTCGTCCACAGAAGGATAAGCCCAGATACGAACCACCTCCCCCCCCTACCACTCGCCTCGGTCGCAAGAAGCGCAAGGCCGCAGGCCCAAGCACGGCTTCCAAGCTCCCCGACATCTTCCCGACTTCACGATGTAAACTACGATACCTCCGCATGCAGCGGGTTCACGACCACCTGCTGCTAGAAGAAGAATACGTCGAGAACATGGAGCGTCTGCGCAAGACCAAGGCCCAGGCTGCACTAGATACCGCCAACCGAAGCGACCTCGAGCTCGCGGACAGAAACGCAGATGAGAGAAGCCGGGTTGATGATATGAGAGGCAGTCCCATGGGCGTCGGCAACCTGGAAGAGCTGATCGACGACGATCACGCGATCGTCTCCAGCGCTACTGGCCCCGAGTACTACGTATCGATCATGTCGTTCGTTGACAAGGACTTGCTTGAGCCGGGTGCCAGTATCCTTCTACACCACAAGTCGGTCTCCGTGGTTGGTGTGTTGACTGAGGAGTCCGATCCTCTCGTCTCCGTGATGAAGCTCGACAAGGCACCGACCGAGTCCTACGCAGATATTGGTGGTCTTGAGACCCAGATTCAGGAGGTCCGCGAATCCGTCGAACTTCCGCTGCTCCACCCGGAGTTGTACGAGGAGATGGGTATCAAACCGCCTAAAGGTGTTATCCTGTACGGTGCCCCCGGTACCGGAAAGACCCTGCTGGCCAAGGCTGTCGCCAACCAGACCAGCGCCACTTTCCTTCGTATTGTTGGCAGTGAGCTTATCCAGAAGTACCTTGGAGATGGTCCTCGCTTGGTTCGACAGATCTTCCAGGTTGCGGCTGAACACGCCCCATCCATTGTGTTTATTGATGAAATCGATGCTATTGGTACGAAGCGTTACGACTCCACATCCGGCGGTGAGCGAGAAATCCAGCGTACCATGCTGGAGTTGCTTAACCAACTGGATGGTTTCGACGACCGCGGTGATGTCAAGGTGATCATGGCCACCAACAAGATCGAGACTCTGGATCCCGCTCTGATCCGTCCGGGACGTATTGACCGAAAGATTCTCTTCGAGAACCCCGACCGTGAGTGACCCCCCTATCTTGCCAGCCGAGCTCGAGTACTAATTGTATTCTAGAAAACACCAAGAAGAAGATTTTCACCCTACACACTTCCAAGATGTCGCTGGGAGATGACGTTGACTTGGATGAGTTCATCAACCAGAAGGATGATCTTTCTGGTGCTGATATTCGGGCCATTTGTACTGAGGCCGGTCTCATGGCTTTGAGAGAACGCCGGATGAGAGTGCAGATGGACGACTTCCGCGCCGCCAGGGAGCGCATCATGAAGACCAAGCAGGACGGTGGCCCTGTTGAGGGCTTGTACTTGTAGACGCGCAATATTGATGCTGTACGTAGATCTATATCAGCCTAACAAGTGATCTTTGGTCCACAACTTCCTTCATGAGCTCTTGAGCTATAATACGTAGTCTATATCCTTTTGGAGTTATTGGCTTATGCAACGTAAGATGCATATACATTTTACATTGATCTTCTGCTCGAACGGTTTCACATATGCTGAGGTAAAGTCATCTCCACCAAGCGTCACGTCATGTCTCTAGTCTATGAACTGGTTGTTATCAGTACAGTGAGAACCAATCTTATCATCACGTGTGCCCACGGCAAACAGAACAAACCATACAAACCTGTCAAAAGAGCTGGAACATCCTCTGAATGTCGTCTGAAGTCAGCGCTTTTAATCCTGCGACACACTCTCTCAACTAGCCAAAATGGAAGGATTCGACGAGGAAGCCTTCAAAAAGTTCTTTCCAACTAGCTTCGGTCGGCAGGAGAAGAAAACCGATGTGAGCACTCAGATCGATCGCACCAAGCGCACCGAGGTAGCTGCGAAAGTCGACAGCGATGACGAGAAGACGCGATCGAACACCGAGGTCACTCCTGGAGAGCCAACCATTCCTGGACCGGCGAACCGCGAGGTGAGGCCTGATAGTAACAATGGAAGTGACGATTCCGACTCCGACGACTCCGACTCAGAAGACGACGAGGACGAGTTTCCGGTCTCCCACGAGATGCTACTCAAGACCCATGACCGGGCAGTGACTACATTGACCGTTGACCCGGCGGGTTCGCGGTTGATCACTGGCTCCACGGACTGCACGATCAAGTTGCACGATTTTGCCTCGATGACGCCGTCGACTATACGCGCCTTCAAGTCCGTCGATCCATCTGCGAAGAAGCAGTCCGCCGCCCAAGAAGCACACTCCGTACACTACATCGCATTCAACCCACTGGCCCCGACCTATGTGATGGCTGTCTCCGCTACAGCGCAGCCGAGGATTCTGAATCGCGATGGTGAGACGGTTACTGAATTTGTCAAGGGTGACATGTATTTGAGGGACCTACACAATACCAAGGGCCATATTTCGGAGGTCACCAGCGGAGCATGGAGCCCGACCGATGAGAATCTATGTGTGACGGCTGGAACGGACAGCACAGTGCGCATCTGGGATGCTAATGTAGGAAGGACACAAAAGGAAGTGATTGTGCACAAGTCCAAGATGGCTGGATCCGCTGGTCGGAGCAAAATGACAGCCGTCGCGTGGGGCTCGCCCAAACAAGGAGGCC